ATGTCTGTGTGAACATGATCAAATCGAGCGTCAGGCGTAGCGAAAGTGCCAATAGGGGAAACTACGTGCCTGTGAATCTTAGCTCGTTGACATAAGGGACACTGTTTCGCCCACATACGAACATCTTTATTTATGGAGGGCCAGAAGTATCGTGCGGCAATTAGGCTAATGTGTCTGCGATACCTGGGTGAGGTAGCCTATGAAAGGTAATGAATGCGAGACGCCGATAAGAAGAAGGTACTATTGGGCGAGGGATGCCTGTTGAGGTGTCGCAGACGATGATGCCAGACTTCGTTGCTAGAGGTACTGCTTGACATTGCAACTAGGATGAACGGGCTGCCTCTTGACAAGAGGTATTTTCTGCCTGTACTGCAGCGATGGCTGAGAAATCTAGTACGGTGGGCGTTATTGCATTAATGCTAATGCGTGATAACGCGTCAGCAACACAGTTCGACTTGCCCTGCACATGTCGAAGGTCAGTCGCGAACTGTGAAATATAGCCTAAATGTCTGGTTTCTTGTGGAGGGTAACTATCAGACTTGGTATGCAAAGCATACGTTAGAGGCTTATGGTCGGTGAGAAGTGTGAAATTCCTACCTTCGACTGCATGCCAAAAATGCTTAATTGCACTGTAAGCAGCTAGCAGTTCCCGACCAAAAGTGCTATATCTCGTCTCTCTTGGAGTGTGGCGTCGAGAATGAAACTCGAGAGGCTGCCACATCCCAGAAACGAGTTGCTCTAAAACCGCTCCGATCGAATAATCAGAGACATCAACCGCTATGCTAAGCATGGCTGATGTGTCGGGTTACATAAGGAGCGTCGTACGTGCTATAAATTCTTTTGCCTCTTGGAACGCAACTCGTGCGGAATCCGCAAGTACGAGCTTACGTGGACTGTCACGAAGTAGGTTCTTCAATGGTCGTAGTTGTTTAGTAGCGTAAGGAATGAAACTCCGGTAGAAGTTTACCAGTCCCAAAAACGCTTTGAGGTCTTTGAGGGAAGATGGTAAGTTGTAGTCTGTTATGGCACGAACGTTATCCTCACAAGGCTGAATATCTTGTGTGATCCTGTGGCCGAGGAAAATATGTTCCAATGGATCAAGTTCACACTTATCCGGGTTGACTACTATTTAATGGTCGGATAAATGTTGAAACAATAACGCCAAATGATGATAATGTTCGTCTACAGTGAATGATGCTATTATTAAATCATTGATATAGACGTGAACAAAATCTAAGTCTCGTGTAATGCTATCGATAAACCTTTGGAAAGTCTGAGCAGCATTTCGCAAACCAAAAGGTATACGGGGGAACTCAAACAGACATAAAGGAGTCGTGAAAGCAGTTTTTTTCTACGTCTTCAGGAGCGACTGGAATTTGATGATTGGCCTTCACCAAACTTATTTTCGAAAAAAATAGTCGAACCATGAAGGTGATGTTGTGTAGGTGAGGAATAGGGTAGCTATCAAAACGATTCACTGCGTTAAGCGCTCGATAATCGCCACATGTACGCCAGCTAATGCTGTCTATTTTAGGAACCACGTGTAAAGGAGAGGCCCATGGATTGTGAGAGGGATCAACCATGTCTTTTAAAAGCAATGTGTCGAACTCACTCTTGCCGACTATTTCACACAGAGGGTCCAGTGCACCAAATTAGGAAGGAGAGCATAAAAAGCTCTTGGTAACAATTCTGGTGTTCTTCAAGGGGCTGTTTTATCTCCATATCTTTTTTCTACCTTTACTGGTAATCTTTCTGTCCCACCCTCTGCGCACATCCAAAAGTATGCTGATGACGTCGTTTTGTCTCAGACAGTTTCATCTCCCTCGTACTTTCATTGTTTTACTGAAAACCTATCTCACATCTAACAGTTTTCTGACCAATCTGGTTTCAGTCTTAACATATCTACAAGCGTAAGGTGCATTTTCAGTCTTTCCCGCTCCTCATTTTCAACAGACTCTGCTACCCTTAACGATAAACCTGTATCTATATTGACCTCAGTGAAGTACTTGGGTGTCACCATCGACAGCAATCTTCGTTGGTCTACACATATTTACAACTGTGTGGGAAAACTGAGAAGCCTATCTTTTCAGTTACGCAAACTGAGACAATTCCGAACCCCACAATCAGTTCTGTCATCTTTCGTTCATCAATTCGTTAGATTTTTAAACTTTTAAACCTTTTTTAAAAGGTTCAACATTTGGGATAATAAGCACTCAAAACGTTTATTGCGAAAAGTATGAAATATCTGTAGATATTTTACTAGTTTTCTACCAAAAGCTTTATATAGCGGGAGTAATTCGAAAATTCAAACCGCTCGCCAAGGTAATAAAACAAAACAAACAAAACAAATGTCTTCCTATTTTCTTTTTATTTATTGAATATACAAATATACAGTCAACTTTTAGGAAGGGGGGTGCGGCCATATAAAACGTACCGCAGGGTCAGGGTAATCCTCGGGAGTCCATCGGTTTTTATACCTCAAGTCACTCTAATTTTACGGACAAATTCCTCTAAAGGCGTTCCCATCTCCCCACTCTTCCCAAAGGACCTGCCACCTTGCCACATAAATCTATACCACTGGCTCCAAAAGTCACTCCACTGATGTCCCCAAACCTCGGAAGTCACCGAAAAGCCGCTGCTTTCCCTTTGCTAAAAGCGATCAAGGTGGCCCGACCCCCAGACCAGAAAGCATCTCATCTTCATCACGAAAGAAGCAAATAAAACAGACCAAACCATCAGGAGCTCCCACTTACTTGGACTGCAGGAACACAAAACGTGCGCTGGAGCCAAAACCTCAAATCAAGAGCAAGGGGAAGGAGTCGTTTCAAAACGCAACTCCAAAGAAAACCTAGGTTCAAGACGCCCCTTTTATCCTATATCTCTTGAATGTTTTGGATGAAAAAGGTGCTAAAATGAATGTACACTAACTGTTTAAGCCTTAAAGGTAAGGTTGTTCAACTAAGACAAAAGATAAAAGATCCCTGGCCACATTTTCTAACTCTAAC